TAGTAACGCTTATATATATATATATATATATATATAGGGAAAGGAGCTCAACAACAATTTAAAACAACATGAACTGAGTATTAACATGGATGAAAATCACAGGTCACTACATTATTGTTACCACATATACAGACGGCAAGCCACCAACATTTTGTCATCTGAATATCAAAAAAATTTCTAATTTCCTGACAGTTTGGGCCAAAACTTTTCATTTTATCATCATCGAGTGCTGGCGGCAAATGTAAAATTCTAATATCAAATTTTCGTTTTTGGAGTTGAAAAACGAGATCGCTGCTCGCTGGACAGTATGTTGCAATCGATGCCATGTTTGGAAGTTTCAGCAAACGAAAATAACCATCGAAACGATCACCAAAATTCTCCATGGTATTGTCACATTCTACGGCATCCAAGTGAACCACTAAGTCACCATATGCATAAAGTCTTTCCTTAAATACAAAGCAATGTTCGGGGGTTTTAATGTATGGCTTTAAACGATATTTTTCAAACCATTTCAAATCTTCAAACTATTTCAAGTGAGCTTCGTATCTTCCAAAAGGAATTAAAAAATGACAAGTTTCATGAGTCCGTGTACGCGAAAAGTAGTTCCAATAAGTGTATGAATAACAAGGTTATTAATGATAAAAACAAGGACAAATGTAAGAAATAGGCAAGCTTTTCCTAATTCACTTGCTTTATTTTGAGCTGAGATTCGTATTTGAATAGTATTCCATCTTCAAGTCAAAATATACCAACAAACCTTTCGTTCATTCAGCATTCCGCTCGAATTTGTAATTAACATCGCGACAGCACAGTAGGAGCATAACAGAGTACGCAAATGAGCAACAAACTTTAAATCATTTTCAGGATCTTGCCAGAAGGGACTACCAATACCTAAGCGATTTTAGTTTCCATTAATGGGAATCAAAGGTACAACAATAAAAATAAATATCGCGTACAAAAGATCTACCTACCTTCTATGACTACACGCAAGACACGTCTCTTCGGCTTCAATAAAGTAATCGAATACTCGTCGTCTGTAAGTTTCTGCTGTATCCGCTTATAAAGATCATTATAACTAGGTAATTCATCCTGTGATTTGACGCTATCGGGAAAGAAAGAAATGCTGCATGCCTCCATTTTCTTGCAATCCATCTTCTTCATTAAATCATACTGTGGAATCCCACGTCGAGAACAAGACAATGACGAATCCACTTTTGGAGCAGTTGAATAACGCCATGCAATTTTCATTGTTGAATCTTCGGGTCTCTCTACACCATCATTCAAAACATCATTACTCGCAATATTTATTCGGTCCGGCAGATCTTCCAATAATTCTAGTGGATTACGGCTGGTGCTTGCAATAAATAATGAATGCTCGCAACATATACCTAAACAATTATGCCTTCTTAAACTCTTTTAAAATTTTCAAATTACTCAGAATACAACCGAGATTAAGTTGGATACCAAAAAGTACTACATATCCGGATAGTTCTAATATTTACTACATTATAATTCTGACATTCACTACACAGTCCTTGTTGAATGTCACATTCAGATATTATCGAAATTTGATTTAGCCAACCTTCAGCGCTGAAATATTTGCTAAGGACAGTTGCATAGGCTCGACTTTTATTCTCATCGATGATGCATAGTGAGGAAAGCGGCAAGCCACCTCCTATTACTACATCTACCGCTGTACAACCCATTGATATTTCCGGATAACGCGATCGCGTATTCGTTCCCGGTATTCTCGGGATAGCATCCAGACGTATTCCAGCCATCATAGTCTGCAATTACCATTCAATAAAATAAATAATTGAGACTATACATATTCAAAAACCAATTTATTTGGGCTTCTACATCGGGACGAAACGTAAAAATAAGATGACAAAGGCTGTAAAGTTGAACTCAAATTTAAATATTTGCTAATTAGACTGCAATCACAACATCCTATGTCTGTATCCACACCGAAGTAAAACATTTTTTTCAAAAGATTCCTGAATTCTCAACTATCTACAAACAATGAGAATGAGCATGCTTCAATTTGATGAATTCAAAAGCTCCAGAAAAATCCCAAAATTCAATTCACAACAACATCACATGTTTATCCTGCGTGGATTCCACACGAGGTCCAACAAGAAACGAAAGAAGTACATTTACTGATATAAGTCGGACGGAATTCCGGAGTGGACTGAGTATTTGCAGTGATTAACTTAGACTACCTGAAATCTAGAGAACGATGATCAAGCATAGCTGTTCACCATATGAATACTCTTGAGTCTGACATACATGTGCCAGATATCAACCTTACCAGATAAATAAGCAATAACGGAAATCGCATGATCAGGAATGAAAGCGGATTAACGAATAGCTGTCAGGACATCAATCTAATGCAAAGTTAAAATCCATTCAGGAATTCGACGAAATCTTTTCTAACACAAAGATTTAGTTGTTCGCCTGCTCATGTGGTGATAATTTCCCGTTGAACTGATTTAAATTTTGACAAGAAATCCTCCTGACGATGAGCAGTTTTAAAACAGTGTTAAAAGTTGAAACGATGCTAAATTAGATTCTTAGTGCTCTTAAAAAAGTTCTTAATTTTAGTTTGAATCACTTCAAGTAAAAAAATGAATTTCTTTAGTACAGTAATCTTAGTATCAAGGATCTGAGGCTATGTGTAATATACAATTTCCTGTTACACTTGCTGAAGTATATATAAGTTATTTTACATTATTTTTGGTAATTATTAACTCTCCGAGAACATATTTCTGTGTAAATCCTGTGTTTGATTAAAATATAATTCGATATGAAACTGTGAGAACGACAATACCTCATCATCAATATTGTAAAAATCATCGATATTGTAAAAATAACTTAGGTTTTTGCTTCCACTCAAAAACTCTTGAATTACTGACAAGCAGTAAATAATTTGATGTATAGATAGCCTCCTTGATTACCTAAACTTCAGCTAAATATATCCTTTATTCTGGTGATGCAGCTATATGATAAGGTTAGCATAACTTTCTTTAGGTATGCAAAAAATGTCGATTTGCACAAAAATACGCGAAGTAAATGTCATTCATGAATAAGAAAGTTGAAGATGAAAAATTTTTTGAATGATACAAAAGATGTTTTGTGAAATATCCCAATTGCGCAATGTCCACCCCAGCAACAATTACATTTATTAGATGAAGAGGCAAATTATTTCTTTCCGACTAACAGATAATAATTTCC